AAATCCACTGTAACCCGGGTCGTCCATTCCCCGGATCCTGCTCCAACTCCAGTCAATGTCGCAGCAACATCATCTGCTTAGTTTTATTTCACTTTCTGTCAGAGAAAGATAAATAGTGTTTTAAAATCTGGTTTCTATCCAAATTTCTGACGAAGCTGTAAAGAATTGGCAGAAAGTTGGACATTATGGAGAAGAGGGTGGAAAAGTCCTCTTAATCGAGAATTCCAGTCTATAAATATAATATTTTGAAACTGCATAGTTTTTATAAATTAATAACAAGAGTACTGATCCGGTAGCGTGTTGATAGTGATTTTTGAAAAACTTGTTGAATATCGTACCCATGTCAGTGTATTTGGGTTAGTTATTGATGATAATTCTGTAGCAGCAGATTTTTAATTTCAATGAACATTTTTAATAGGCAGATCTGTTGTATGAATTTTTCTTCATCATTTTATCTTGACCTAAGAAAAACAAAATGAGAAATTATTAAAATGTGAACTATAGTCTCAGATTTATTATGTCGATTTAACTGTAGGCATATACAAGGCTGTCAGACACATGAACCTTGCTATCGATTTTTTCGTTGGCATTTAATCGATATATTCGTCTATTTTTCTCATGAACTTGTTACTATACCACCATTAGTTTGGATTGATTGTGCACATAAAAATGGTGTTCAAATACTTGGTCTGCATGTTTTTTTTTCGCTAATATTTACTACATTACAATATTAAAATATAATTTTAGGTACATTTATTACTGAATTTGATGCAGGAAAAGAAATATGTCGTCAATTATTAGCATCAGATGATAATGTTGATCGTGCAGTTGACGCTCTTGCATTACTTATGGCATGGTATAATTTTGATGGATATCTATTGAATATTGAAAATCCAATTGAGGTAAGATTTATTTTAACAATGAAGATAATTATATTATTATGTAATGTTTATTTTTAGCCAGAATATGTGCAACGTCTTCTTTCGTTTGTATCAAAACTTAAATTAGCTTGTGCAAAAATTGATCCAAATAGTTTAGTTATTTGGTATGATAGTGTAACTATACATGGAAAATTAAAATGGCAAGATCAATTAAATGACTTGAATGAGTAAAGATATACGTAGGTATTGTCTATTATATAAACGATATTTTTATATCTAGACCATTTTTTAATGCTTGTGATGGGATATTTTTAAATTATACATGGAAGATAGAAAAGCTGTTACAATCGAAAATTAATGCTGGAGAACGTTGTCGAGATGTTTTTGTTGGTATTGATGTTTTTGGTCGAGGATGTTTTGGTGGCGGTGGCTTTAATACATGTGAAGTGTGTTTATATTTATTCATTTTCTTGTTTATTTATTTTTAAATAATCATTGTGTATTGCTTCTAGGCCATGTCTGTAAGTTATGCAAATGATTTAAGTACTGCTCTATTTGCACCTGGTTGGCTATTTGAAACACTTGATATACATGAATTTCTTGAAAATGATAGAAAGTAAGTGAATTCTATTGAACTTAATAATTAATGTTAAAAAGGATAGTATAGATTTTGGAATTTATTAGAACCGTATACAAGTCAAAGAGTTCTTCATATGAACTCTTTAACAACATTTTTTTCTGATGGTTTTGGCAAAGAATTCTTCATTCATGGTTTAGTAAGCTTTCAAAGTTTGATGTTTTAAAATTTAAAAAAAAGAAAGATTTAAATTTAGAATCTAGCACGAAATTCATGGTATAATCTTAGTTTACAATCTTATTTACCTAATGTTTTGAGTGAAAATAAATGGTTAATTAATCATGATGATGCTTATTTTGGTGGATCATGTATTGAACTTAAAGCAAATGACAACGGCTATTTCAAGTAGATTTCTATTTTATGTTTTATTAGTCTTCTAATAACGGAACTACCTCTACTGTAACCCACCGTTTGAGGTCATATTGGATGCACAACAAGGTCTCAATAAGACTAGAAAAGACAGAAAAGGGTTCATCTCCATAGACTTTTGGAGGCAGGTTATGACCGTTTTATTGAGCTTTCAACTACTAGTAGTTTTTAGATATTTACTAGAAAATCAAATAAGGAAATTTCAATATGAAATTTGACTCATCAGTTAGGTTCAATGATCCTTAGAGTATCCTGTAAGTTTCACTCAAAAGGAATATTTCTTTGTAAAGCACTAGGTCGAAAAGCCAGTGTAACAGTCATAACTTGACTCCAGATATGTATGGAGATGGACCCTTTTAGACTTTTTCTAGTCTTACCATAACTTCCTTAAAAGTTCAATATGAGCTCAAACGACTGATTACAGTTGTGATAGTTCTTTCGTACCATTCTTTTTCTTGTTTTAGGCTTTTTAAATGTTTAATACCAATTGAATCCATGTGTGATATAACCTTAGTTTTTAAACATATTGCTGATGTTGTACTTGAACTTAAATTTGATAATGGAAAACATATTCGTTTAGAGAAGAGTGACAAAGATTTAATTGTTCGTAATTGGAAGCGAAAGTATGAATGCTTATTTGTTTTACTCGTATTAGATTTTGTGTTTTGTCTTTTGTCAGAACTTATCGAATTGTTGTTGATGAGCGAGTATCAATAACTGACATATCAATTCATTATGATGAAAATATACATTCAATTATCAAACTTGGTTATTTATCGGTTAGATAATCAGTTGAAATTTTATATTGAACAAAAGAAAATATTTGTTTAGATTCATCCTGTTGAGTCTCATTGTTTGAAAATTGTATCATTACCACCTTTAATACAATCGATTGAGCAAACTTCAAATTCATCGATTATTTTACATTTTGTTGATTCTATTCAAGAACAAACATCATCAATTATATTTGTGTTTGTACGTGATCAATTTGAACAATATTCGTTTCTTGGTGCTACACGTCAATCATATTTTGCTATTTTTCGATCAGAAACAATCAATAATAAACAAGATTATTCTATCTTAGTTATTCGACATTATTCACTTGATAGTTTAGATTTAATTAATGAACAAATTCTTAAAATACCAATGATGTTTAATTGTATACAAGGCTTTTGTTCAAAAAACATTTAATAACATTTTTACTTGGTCTTTAGAATAAAGAATACAATATTTAAAAACAACTTTTTTTTTAGATTGATACAGCGATGAATATATCTAATTTAGAAGTGTGTTGTTTGGCATACGATAAACAGTTTGATCAACTTAAAGCGAAAATAGAAGCTGATCCTCAGTGTGTTAAAGCAAAAGATCGTGTACGTAAATTTCTTATTAATTATCCATAAAAGTTTCATACGATAATCAACGATTTTAGGATGGTCGTACTGTTCTTCACTGGGCTTGTTCAAGTGGTGCAAAGGATATTGTTCAATATCTACTTGACGTTTGCCGTGTTCGACCGGATATTCCTGATGAAGTAAGCAAAATTTCAGAAAACCATTTTTATGTAATTAATTAGTTTTCTCATGATTTTTCACGCCGTCATGACTGACGACCGAATCATTTCAGACTTCTCCTTCTAATTTCAATGACTTTTTTGTCTATGGATACTACATAGCGTTCTAGTAAAAACTGTAAAAGGATTTGGATTCCTATTAAGATTTGACTAAGCTATCGAGTTTTTAATATGTCTTTTTACTAGAAGTCTCAGGTTTTCGGAAAACTCCTATTTTCGAATTTTGATCTGAAATGTAGTGCATATCGACAGCTCGATTAGACTAGTTTCCATAAAAACAATTCACCAGTTTTAATTTTCATGGAAACTAGTCTAGTTGAGCTCTCTATGTGTGCCAAGCCTCAGATCAAAATTTGAAAATACAAATTTAGCGCAAACCTGGGACCTCTAAAAAACAGACATTACAAATTCAACAGCTTAGCCACATCTCAATAAAACCTCGAGTCCTTTTAGAATTCTTATTAGAACAACTGTGTAATATCTATAGACAACAAATCATTGAAACCGGAAAGGAATATCTAAAGACGCTCCCCCCCCCTCCAACCCCCACGAGTGTTTGCGCATTGCTCAGCATGTATCCACAAGGTCTTGTGATAAAATCTCGCTGTTAATGATCATAAAATGATTCTGTACAATTCACTGACAAGTATTAGTCTCGGATCATCTATCCGATAGCACACTGACTTCATGTTGGCATACACCGGCTCTGACGACTAGTACGTGGTTAGTCAGTGTGTATGGTGAGCTCAAACGATTGAACAAGAGAAGTCTGAGTCAAGTTGGTCACCTCTATCCAGAGCTATATCTAGTAATAGAGTTCTAGGGAAGATATCAGGCTAATGCGCGACTGCTTTCGTGCAGCACCATATACCACAAGATAATCGAAAGGGCAAATATTCTTCTTCTTGCATGATAAACCAAAAAAAAAATATTTGTTTCTGTATTAATTACAAAATTTCAGCTCAATGAATATTTTAATTTTATTTTTTCAGCTTGGTTGGACACCATTGATAATTGCAGTATCAACAGGTCATGTTGAAATCGTTCGAATGCTTTTACAAACAAATAAAGTCGATATTGAACAGTCAAATTCATCCGGTGCTCGACCATTACATTATGCATGTTCAAAAAATTTTTATGAAGTAAAACACAAGAAAAAAGGAAACAAAATTAAATTTTCAAAATTTTATTTTTATTTCTAGATTACTCAATTGTTACTCGAACATGATGCTGATGTAAATGCAACGGATAAATATAAACAAACACCATTAGATCGTTGTTGTTCAAGAGGAAATACACGAATAGTTGAACTTTTATTAAAACATCCAAAAATTGATTTAAGTATGCATAAAGAATGTGATGGAGATCACTCGTTATTTCAACAATAATTATTATTATTATCATTGTTTCTCTTTTTTTGTTTTATTTACTGAAAAGAAATAAAAAAAAAAAACCTTTTACCAAGATACTACTTCTAAAAAACAAACAAAAAAATAAGTGCAATAAATAATTAACGATTATATCAAAAGAAAGACGCTTTTTAATGTTTTTTTAATTTAATAATGAACGATCGTATTTGCATTGGATCCAAGTGAATTGTTTGTCCATCAAAGTTTGGCGTTTGGTTGTATTCGCTTTTATCTTCTAAAAGAGAAAACAAAAATATTGAACAAATTTATTATTTAAATAAATAAATTACAAACCATAGGTTGAATCTGGTGTCCATTTTAATCGATCAAATGCTTCAGTTTTATACATATTTGCACCTAGTGTTACTTCTTTAGCTTCAAGTAATTTATGATTATTAAAAATTTTCTATTAATATATAAAAATTTTATTTAATAATTTCTTTTTTCAAAATATCTTACATGAATTTCAATTGAAATTGATTTTGATAATTTGGAATGTTCATTACGATCATAAATATGTTCAATACGAAAAAGAATAGTTAAGATATTTTTCTCTTGACTTAATGGTTCTATTGTTAGAATATTTACTTGTGGAGGTAATTCAGTTTTTAATAATGACCACTAGTAAATACAAATATATATTATATAAATAATATAAATAAACTAAAAATTACTGTTTTATAATCAAGAGGTTGATCATTACTATCATCTCGAAAAGCAATTACTGGTCTCCAAACGGATTTTAATGCATATTCACGAAAAAATTTCATGCTATCATTAGGTTTAGCTACTGACAGTAGATGACGACCTATTTATACGTACACACATATATGCATATATAAGATTAAGAAATGGCAAACTATTAATTATAATTTGGTTTACCTCGAACAACTAAACCTTGACCATCAATACCGACTTCATTGAGAAGCTGAAAAAAAAACAATTTAAAAAAAATAATAGAGATTTGTTTTGATTTTTACATACTTCAGATACGCCGAGACTATCATCGGTTAAGACACGTCGGTGGAGCTATATAATAGATGAAAAATAGTTTAGTGGATCAATATAAGATAGAATTGATGTTTTAATTGACAAGCAATTTGTTGCGCAAATATAATTAAACATTTAATTTTTTTTACCGTAAGATAAATTTCAATCGAAAAAAAAATAGAAAATCCTAAAATATGTTTCTTTAAAAGCAGCATAATACAAACATTTTATAGGAAGCTAGAAAATTATGAAAATTGAGCTTTTTACAACTTGAGATTTTATATTGGGAGACTTTGATTTGTATCCTATATAAAAGTGCAATTCGATGAAGGTTAAAAATGACTTATGTATCCTAGATGACTTTGTACCTCCTTTAGGAGCGTTACCGAAGGGTCTCGGTCATATCTAAGACATGGCGAAAAAGATGAGCCTGCAGGTTTTTCCCGCAGTTACACCACTGATCGTATACTGAGAAGTGGTTTCTGTAATCGAATCTATTTACTAAAAAAGTTATTTAACATTTAAAAGTCATGCTGATGTTTAAAACCCAATTTCAGGACCTATCTTCAGATAAGAGTCAATGAAACCCTTATTGATCACTTTCATCAATTCATAAGAGGTAAATAAAATCGGAGTACTTTCCAATCAATTGTTTCTCTTTTCTTTCGCTCGCTCGATAAAATGTCTAACTTTCCTATGCACATATTAATGAAAGAGTAAATCCCAAGAATTGAATATTTGATTAAATTTTCTTTCAAACAATAAAAACTGCCTGTCATTAGATTTTAACCCTTTAACTATCGACATAAGAGATAGAGACAAAACTCTTTAGAAATTCATTGTGGCTATGCATTTTTTATCCAAGTTTACAGATTTCTACGAGACAACTTGAAATCTCCTGTAAGATATGGAACTCTTTGAAACAATCGGTAATACACAGAGCACCATCGCATTCGGTATACTAGTAGCACGTATTGCACCATTCCTTCGTACGTCGTTCAGTATTGCTGCAAACATAACATCGTCTTCAAGGAGTCCGACTGTTTTCATTTGGAGGCATTAGAGAAGGGAAATGTCTGACTCAATGATCTGCCAACATGTGACCTCTTGGCGTCGCACTTTGCAATGAGTTCTCGAATAAGAAGAAAGAGAATAAGAGGTAAACATATGTACAATAAACTGACTGTTCCCTACGTACACTCGTTTTTTACGGCACGGCTCTAGAACATACCATCATAAAATGATAGTATCACAAGCTTGAACTGTTTGATGCTTATTTCTATGCAAGCTATTCTAAAAAGTATTTAGTATGATTAATTTTGTTAGCTTTAAACATTGATAAAGTCCATGACGCATATATGCCACGGCGATAGCTAAAGGTTTAAATACCGGATGCTTCAGATGTAATTCAGCAAGAAAAGAATAGAATATATCTCGACCGTATTTTGATCACATGAGGTAATTTTTATTCCTAATGATAGAATAGAGTTCCAAGCTTTTATTCATGAGCGAATTTTCATGTTCTTAAATTTTCTTAATTTTTAAAGTAATCTGTTTGCAATCTTTAAGTTTTTATTAGTCCATCTGGCTTCTCAGGAGCCTCTCGGATGCTCTTATACAAAAATTTCCTGAGAAACCCGAGTAACTACAGCTAACTTTTGATAGAGTGCTTACATATGTAGTCATCCACAAAGCCATGAAGCTATCCGAAACTTTCTTGATATATTTCGTTCTGTAGAGTTTCTTTTCATTCATCATTTCACTGCAGCAAAGAAATTTGGTTTTTTTTTGTCAACAAAATTTCTTTGCTGAACTGAAAATACTACAAAACATCCCATTGCTCTGTAGTTCTGGAGACACTCGACTTTTTCCGGTATTTGAATTCCAATACCATCATTTATTGATAAAAATGGGAAAAAATTTTTACTGAAATGATCAGCAAAAAAAAAACACTACAAAATCGATTGAGTCAAAATAGAAATTCTCAGTCCTCCCTGCTTCTTATAATCGTCTATTGATAGAAGCATTCGAAAAAAAAAGGCCAACTTTTATATTAGAATACATAGTGCTAGATATATCAGTGTAACAATAAGTTAATGACATATGAATAAAAATGTTCAGCTTTTCTCTATCATCAGAAAAAAAAATGTAACTTATCTCGTCAAAATACAGTGAAAGTATTCCATTTTTCTTTTTTGGTAGGTTATTTTTAGAACATCCGTTAATTCTTCATTCCATTACAGTAAAAAAAACGTATCATAACATTCTCACTCACCATAATTTCGACTTGTCCATCTTTTATACTACCACCACCTTGGGCTCGATCAGTAATTATACTCATTTGTAAATCTTGCTGTGCATTCTAAATTTTATCCGAAAGTATATTGTTCTTTCCTTCTTTCTTTTTTTCTTCTTACTTGGATCATGATACCAGTTACTAATGGATAATAATTACCAGCACTCTGTTCACTTTGTTTAAAACGATATCCGTCACGTTGATCTCGTCTAATCCAAAAGAAAAAAAGAAACATTAATTTCATGAAAAATGTCCTATTGATTCTATAGTTTTACATTCGCTTCATTAATGATCGTCCACTAGAATCTGTATAATAGATCCCATTATTATTAAGATCTTTACTTTCATAGGAAGTAACGAATTCGACACTAAAAAAACAATCAAGTTTATTTCCTTAGTTATCAATATATAATTTATTATACTTTGTATTTAATCGTCCAACAATCCACTCGAATTCAATGTAAGGTGAATTGTCAAGTAAACGAATTGATTGATTAACATATGACGAATAAACTTGAATGATTTCTTCATAACCTTTGTGCTGTAGAATATGCAAAACATATTTTAAATATCGATCATTGTTAAATTAGATTCACTTTAGTTTTACTTTGAAACAATAAAAATGTTTTATATTAACTTGTTGTGGTGGATTTGTACCAATCGGACGGAAAACATACAAACCACTTGCTTGGTGTGATATTGTGTCACTAGAAGAACCTATCAATGAACATAATTATCTTGAAAAACTTCAAGAAAGAAAAAAGATTACTTGAATAATAACCAAAATTTTGTGTGAAATCGATTTCTTTATTAATTGATTTCAATTGTAATGAAACGATTAAACCTCTTTCATTGACTTTTAATATATAATGCTGCTCAAAAACAAAAATAAGTTACACAATAAAACAATCAACGAAGAATAGTCTCACTTGATTTTCAATAGAACAACTTGATGTTGTAATTGATGGCTGCTCAACATTTTGTTTTTGTTCTATTGGTATTAAATTAATAAAATTTATTAGATATTTTACACAATAAATTTTTCAGAAACAGAAAATCCAAGTGGATTTGCTAAACATAGAGAATCTATATTGCAGTTTATATATAGTTTGCTTTGAAATTATATCTTGCAAATGGATATAAAGACAGTGGAACGTATTTTTAATGAGACATGTAATAAATAAAAGTAAAAAACAAACAACTCAATAATCATCCTCAAGAGTTCGATGAAAATCTATTAAACGGCTAACAATAGAAACAGAAGTCATAGATAAAGAGATATTGGGATTACTAAGTGTATTCTATTGGCCTATCAACATGCGTAATCGTTTAAAAATAGTAAAAATTGGTATATTTTCGAATTCTGTATGCAAATTAAGTATTGATTTCCAATATTCTTGACAATTAATTTTATAGAATGTGAAACAAATCTTTTAGATTTAGAAAATCGCTCAACTTTTTTGTAATGAGAGTTTATTCTTGTTTATAGCCCAAAAAATACATACACTCAACGTTTTATCTAGGCAAGAAATTTTTTATTATGGTTTCTTTTTTCCATTGCTTGCTTTTATTTTACTTAAAGAACTTTATCTATTTTTATACTGACGTTTCTCGACTCACAAAATTATTACCTACTTGATATAATGAATGGAATAGCTTGTAAACTTAATGGTGGTACATGAACACGAACAATTAATTCTTGTAATTGATTACGTGCTTGAACAATTGGAATACTTTGAAGAATAGGTGATAAATTGATAGTCTATAAACAAGTAGATGATACTATTGTTGACCAACACATGAAGAAAAAATTTTACGCCAATCTCAATAGCATCAATTGAAAATTTCTTCACATTATCAATATCGAGATTGATAGTCTGTTGTTCTGCAACAGGAATACGCATCCAAACTTGATTAGATATTGATGACGGATTGTAAACAATTGCAGAAAACTAATAGCAAGAATAAAAACAACGATTATTTTATGATGAGAATAGTGTCCTAAAATCTTTATCATTCTATTTTCTACTATAGTTGAACAGGACACCGAAGAAAATAGCAATAGAAATATTCAATGTTTCGTTGAAATGAAGACATGACAAAGTTTTTATTCGAAAAACACAAAAATTGTTAAAAACTTCTTGTGATAAATGCTCAAATTTCTCGAACTTGAAGGTTAAAAAATGTCTGTAATTGTTTTATGTACTTTGAACGTCAATAACTTACTTTATCGATGTTAACAAGCGGTGTACAATAACTTTCATTAAGTTGACAAAAAATTAAGGGCATAGACCAATTTGTTGTCATTGATGGTGTTAAAATATGTTGATAGAGTGACAAAGCTAATGCCTATATTTAACAGGAGAAAAAGAATCTAAAAGTTGTTTTTCTTTGTTGCAATTATACTTGTCCATGTTTCTCTGCTCGATGCATTCGTTGAAGAGCATCTGCAATATGAACCATTGGACTTGTTCCTCTTAACAAACATAACAAATATCATCATTCAACTTTGATTAAGTATTAGTATACGTGATGGTATCATGATGCTGCAGTAAACTCATGATTTCTGCTAATTGGAATAGACTTTGAAAGTCAACTTGATTTTCAAAGATACTCAGTTGTCGAAGAGACTATTAAGATAACATCCATTAGATTATACATATTTCTCTTTGCTAGATTCAAAGCAACTTCACCTGATAGAAAGCTCCTAATGAGCGTTCATAATATTTGATGCCTGGTCTCGATGTATAGAATCCGGTCCAAAATGCATGTGCACGATGTGCATATGATAAAAAATCACCTTCACGTACAGGCCATGAACGTTTTTCTTGTGATAAAGCATGCACAAAACAAGTGGGTGTTGAATAGTGTACATAGAATTTCTTATTATCACTCGTGGTATTTTGCTATTTCATTGAAAAATAATAAGATATAATTTCTTTTTCTATTTAATCAAAACCTACTATACTATTAATAGTATCAATCATAGCATCAATATTTTGAAAATATTGTGTAGCATCTTCATATTCAAAATCACCACCATATATAACAGCTATATTGTTGCTATTATATTTTTGTTGCTATAAAAATATTCTTGATTAAAATAAAAATAGAAATTTAAGCCAACGTGAAACCTGAGTTTTGAGTTCTTGAAGCAAACGATTACTATACACACTAGCTGATTCTGGTATTGTATCAACATCAGATGGTCTCTAAAAAGATTAAATAGAAAAATTTTTTAGATTATTTTCACATATTTTTCATTGAATGACCAGCACTCACCAATAAACTACCTGCAACATCCGATTTTAAGGCTAATGTTTCTGGTGGATGGTATAGATTGGGAAGAATTCCAGTAAATAACCACCGTTCATTCTTTGCTTAAAGCAAAAGTTTATTTCATGCCTATTTATATTTTGTTTATTTAATAACTTACGAGCATTTTCATTTACTTTCCAAATCATTTGTAATGTTTTTTCAGCTGTACGTTGTTCTTTTTCTTGATAATCCAGACGACCAAACAAAATAGCATCATAACCCATCTAATATTTTTATTAAAAAAATATGAAATTCTTTTTATAAGTTTTAACACATCTTTTGACAATGGAAAATAGCTGTTACTTACTTGAGCAAATAAAGAATTGATTTCTCGTCCATGTCCAAATAAATCAAGTTGCCAAGCAACAGCAGGTTGTGAACAAATACGTAATTCATCTTTAACAAAACGAAAACCGAATGTACATTGATCAATCATTGCAGAATAATGACTGACAGCTTCATCATTTGAAACCCAACTACCACCAGCTATATCAATACGTCCTAAAATTCACAAAAATGTTTTTAATCAATCAAAAAAAGCTTAAGAAATCAATTCTTAACCATCATTCAATAATTTTTGTATTATTTTTTTATAATCTTCATCTAAACGTTTCCACCAACGCCATATAAATGACATTTCAACCATCACAAACCGACGTTGAGCATTTTCAAGTAAAGCACTCACCACATTATTGAATATTGTTAAAACGCTTGCCATACTATGTCGATACGCTTGACCGTTCTTTTGACTATTACGACCATGTTCAATACCAAAAAAGTATCCGTCAACGGAATTAAGCCAACCGGGATCTAAATGTGTATGACAAATAACATGCACATTAATAACATCTTCACGAAGTTTTGGACAATTCTAAATAAATAAAAATTATTGTATCTTTCAATATATGTTTTCCGTTTTTGTCAGTTATACTTTATAAGCACAGTTTTCTAAATTCGATGATATGATTTTATTTGGTTGCTTATCTGTCGGTAATACTTTGCTACTTGAAATAATATTTTCTTCATTATTTTCTTGTCGTATATTATATTCTTCTCGAATATATAGAAAAATCCCAAGGAAAGATACAAACGTTATAAGAACAATTAAATGTTTACGATATTTAGAACTACGTGTTGATCGCACCTATTTGAACAAACATAGTCTTAATTTCTTATAAAAAGCAAAAAATAAAGAACTTACGAAAAAACGATAAAATGTGTGCATTCTCTATGTTGATTGATTTTCTAGACGGAGTATAAGGTACTAAGATGATGACTTGGTCAGATCTCTACGAACGATACAAATTATGATGTGTATATATAATTTAAATTCTAGGATTTCTATTCAAAACTAAATATTCGTTTTATGGCCAATTATTTAATATATCATAATTCCTTTTTTAAATGTTTGAACACTTTATTTCACTGGAAAATTTTTTCTGTATGACCAGATGTTAAATAAATATTTATGCTGATGGTTTTGTCTTTTTTTGTTTTATTAATAATTCCGCAAGATAGAATTACACGATTAAACGTAACAGTCAAGTATTTCACATAACATTATGCATAAATCAGTTTTCGAATCGTCCATGCGACATCATGCCTGAAAATAAAACATAAGTGAATGAGCGACTTTTGATTTAAATATAAAAGTTTCAACAGCAGCGAAGATTGTAACTACACAATATATATAGAAAGACTACCATTTTGACAGAATTTACTTTAATCTGTCAAAATGGTAGTCTTTCTATATACATTGTATAGTTACAATCTTCGCTGCTGTTGAAACTTTTATATTTAATATCAAAAGTCGCTCATTCACTTATATTATTTTCATTAAGTATGGCAGCATATGGGCGCATGTTCGACGCCCCATGGGGGAGGAGGTTGTTTTTCACCTATATCGATATAGACGGAAAACAGCAAAACTAATGTAGAATTACGTCATCGTATAGTAAAAAAATATTAGTTCACTAGTAATAAACAGTCCATATGTAAAGCTACACGAAGAGCAAAAAAAAACATCCCTATGGTACGTTATCTAGTCACTATTAAATAGTGCTAATGTAATTGCACAATGTTTCGATGATTTCAATATAAAGTTAGTCTATACAGAATTTACTTTTGCAGAAAAACTGCAAAAGTAAATTCTGTCAAAATGTAGTCTTTCTTTATACATTCTGTAGTTACAATCTTTGTTGCTATTAAAACTTTTATATTAAAAAAAAATGAAACGTAACCATATGTCGTGCATTGTAAACATTGAAATTCTTTTTTAACTGAGTCGTATAAGAAAAATTCATGTACATTGTATTAAGATACATTTATTTTTTCTTTCTGTTCCATGGCAATGCAAATACGCGATACGTTAGATGAATGAGTTTTCGTCGTAGAAACACAGCTATAGAGACATTTTATTTGTTTATGTGAATAAATAAACAAGATGAACAAATAAAGAAAAAAGGGTTCAATTTTTTAGTAAAATGGAAACTTAACATACTTGTTACTCGTCATAGAACTTAATTTCTTTTTTCTTATTAGATATATTGGCTTTCGACAAACATTTACGTTCTAAAGCAAACTCCGACCGTAATATATAATCAGTAGCACAACAAAGAGAAATACAAAATCTTAACTTTCGCTTGTTTTTTCTGTTCTTTTTAATCAGTGTCAACAATGTCACCCTACCTCTCTTTGCTTTAAATGCTAAGTCCTTTGATCATTGGAGGATTTATACAGCAACAAATTGATCTTTTCATCCACAAAAAATACAAGGAAGAGGGCAGAAAAAAAAGAAAGAGAATTGATAATATAGGTCGTGTACATGATGATGATGATACATATGCATATTGATTATGTATCTTCTTAGAACAGATATCTGTTCTAAGAAGATACATAATAAATATACACATTTATCATCATATGCACAGCTCTTATTTCTAGAGTGTTTTTCTTTCTATCTGTGCTTATGTTTTTATGCTTTTTTTGTGGAAGAAAACATTAATCGAAGGATTTATATTCTGAAACAAAAAGAGTGATCTTGTTGATAATGATCATAGAGAAGAAAAAAAAACAAGGGAAAGCTAAACTTTTGGTTTTTTATTACTATGGTGACAAAGTAGTAGAACATGAGGCAAAATGTAATGTTTCTTCGTCATCTATATTTGCAGAGTGTATTGCTGTCTATCTCCGATAGAACGATATCTTGCAACTAATAAAAATATACATAGAACCATAAGAACAGAAGAACAGTAATCATATTGGTTAGACTATGGGCAGCATCATTTTTGTCTTATGTCATTTCATCATCCGCTGTCAGCAATTTGTACTTATCAACATAAGAAAGATAATGTCATTATTCTCTTTTTCCATCTTGTACATAATCTATTTCTGAATGGTTTAAATATCCGTGTCTTCTTAATTGCAGACAAAAATCAAAACAATTAGAAGATCGACAGTGTGGGTGAGGGCTGAAATTTTGTCCGCAATCAAGCTGTAGCCTAAATATCATTCCCAATTCTATATGTAATATCGATTAAATCAAATTGTGACCATTGTGCATAAAAAAATTGTATTTACGTAATGATAAATATTTTTTTTTAACTGATATGTTATCATAGAAAGGTGGATTAGTATTGATGCTCTGTTGATTATGTTTTTTTCTTTTAATACAATAATTTTTTGATATGTGTATTGAATGACAAAGACCTTGATATATTTTTGTCTTCATTAATGAATGATTGGTTTCTCTTATATCTATAGAGATGTCAATGCTTGTTGTTTATAATGATTCAAATATTTGTATTTAATTCAAGTTACTTCTACTCTCTAAAATAATAGATAAATACTTGAGGTATATCAAGGAAATATAAGAAAAAGGTATATGGATTCTTGACTTTTAATGCGGCTATTGAAGCTTAATCCTCAGTTAAACAATTTCTGTCACGATTAAAAATAATCTTTTAATAAGAACTTAATTTTCTCTTATTTAGTTTCTCTCAATGAGTGTCGATATTTTGCCTTTGTAGAGAAAGTTATGTTTGAAAGCATCTAAACTTTCATTATTCTTATTAGTTGATGCTGCTAATGGCTTCAATATTATTCAAGAATGACATAAAAGTGTCGAGCATATGAAAAAATGAAAAAGTTAGAAGATGTCGTAAATCGGCAACTTACTTTTTAATTAAATACTCCTGTTGTCAATCGTCATTTTATGATATTCTTGGTCATTTTTTATACTGTAAAATCAATGGATAAGAAATATTTTATTAGCATTGGAAATGTTAACAAACATTACCATCGTACTTAATTTGATATCGTTTATGAGGCGTACTACTTCTTAAAAACTATTCTAAAAAACGAAAAAGTTTCTTAATAGATTTCCATAATTGTTCAAACCAATGTATTGAAAGTTTTCATCCAAACATTTGAGAATTTATTCAGGAGTGGAACCAGCAAACTAGTGAAGGGATGGCGATTTATCGAAGAGGGCGGCGTTCATGGTCATAAAACGGTTTTCGAACCCTTTTTGACGTAGTACAACTCCTTTATTTCTCATTTCTGCTGAGAAAAAGTGAGAAACAAATTTCGCAAAGGGGTGGTGGTCATCCATTCACCGAACAGGTAGATCCGCCACTGAATTCATTAAATGTCTTCAGCGAAAAAGGATTCGATTTCGACAGATGTTGATAGAAATGAACATTGGTGCACAAGAACGAGCAAAAATGGCAATACTCAATGAAATAGAGCAGTGTATTGATACATTTAAAAAGCGCTATAAAAATAATGAAATTGATCTTACGGAGCTGTTAGATAGTTTGTCACAGATTGTAGCAAAACAGAAAAAAATAAGCCTCCACAGTAAACATATATTGTTACTGTTAGGACACTTTTTCTATACTTGAAAAATGTAAAATTGATATGGTGACATGTTATTCTTTCGGTGTTTTCTCTCTGTTATTTTTAAGCATACTTTTTCAATATAAATAGAAAATAACAAAAGAATGTTTTTTTTAGAAAACGAAAGTGGTATTATTTATAGTATAAAATTAATTGATACATTATATGTGAGAAAAAAAAAATTAAAGTTCAGTATTAAAAGTGCCTGTCTAATATATATGTGTTAATTGCGACATTATTGTACCGTCCATGTAAAAATATTGCCCAATTTGATGAAGTCTTGTAACATGAAAGTTGGTTTAAAATTTAATAAAAAGAATGGTACATTTCTTATCATAGAAATGCATTTAAACGTGCTTTATTGTTTAAGAAAAGAATTTTTAACGTATTTTCATGATCAAAAAAGGTAACACTTTATTTCGTTAAATTTTTAACACCTTTTGATACAATAATTTACAAAAAAAACGCGTGAAAACACATTAAGTACGTAAGCTAATGTATACAGTACTACTCAGAATTTTACGTGCAATATTACTAATCGCATGTATGATTAACCACTGTAGCACCTGCTATTAATTGAATAACGGTGAAAAACTCTACGTACATATCTATGAAAATATCTGTTCCTAAAAGTGATATGCGACGCGCTAAATAACATAATTTTGGGTGTGAAAGTAAAGACGAAAAAACTGCATACGGTGCTAAGCGTCGTAATCTGCCAAAGTTGAGCAATATCCATGAACAAATAAAAGTCATATACGAGCATGTCTTCTCCATTTCCACACTTTTCGATCCACCTTTTGAGCTACTATATTCTCATTGTCTATCCATTTTTTTTCTTGAAGAAGTTGTTTTAAAATAATTTCTGATAATGTACATTGTACTATACCTAACATTGTCGGCTTTTCCAATATTGAATTGTTATTTATCAAAAGTATACGGAATTAAAGTGACAACAGATAGAAATACCGATTGTATTCATTTAAACGTAGCTCGAAGTTCCATCAAGTAATGCAAAGTAGCTGAAAGTACCACTCAAGTAGCCCAAAGCAGCATAAAGTACTACTCAAGTTGTTTAAAGTAGCCTCGAAGTATGCAAAATCAACTTGAAGTAGTTCAAAGTAGTCTTCAAGTAGCTAAAAGTAACTTCAAGTACAAAAGTCCGCCATTTTCCCCTGGGAAAGCTGCCATGATTTTCAAAAATCCAACATTAAACATATATTCGATAGAGAAAACTGTTCTTTTTTGAATCACGCAAATCCGAAATATCTATATTTTGCTGTTCAAGAATTATCATAATTATCTAAAGACCATGGAATGCGCCAA